TTGGGATGTTCACCCTTCTACTAAAAAACCTTAAATAGGGAATAGGGATGACAGTACTCCCCTACCCCTCCCCCCTATCAAAATCCCTTTTAAGGACTGCTAGTATGAGGGGAACATCCCAGCAACAAGGTTTGAAACTTCTTTTTTTCGCTTCTTGGGCATGAAGGTGTTGAAGAGGCTTGCGCTCTCAGAACACTAAACCCCAAACCCTAAACCCTAAACCCCAAACGCCAAACCCTAAACCCTAAACCCTAAACCCTAAACCCTAAGCAAGGATTAGGATGTACCTGCCCCTGGCCCTCTGCCCCCACCACCACCCCGCCACCCCGCCACCCCGCCACCCCGCTCTCCCCTCTCCCCCACCCCGTCCCCCTCCCCTGGACCCCCAACTTAACCCCCCGCAGAAAAAGGCGTTGAATTAAAAAGTGTATGTACATATGTATATGTATACACACTACCATGTAACCCTACATCCAAACTACTCTCTAAATCCTGAAAAATACCCATATCCCACACCTCAACCCTGCCTCATCTTTGAGCCTTTTCCTAAGCCCTCACCCCAAAGCCCATGAAGACCATTGCCGGTCCAGCTCTCAGAAAGCTCAATCGCCGACGCGCCCAAGGGTGCGCGTGAGATGTTTGGGTCCGCACGTGCCTGTCTCCGGAGATGTGGTTTTAGCTATACGGTTCCCTGGAAACCCCAACATCAAGACAGCAAAGCTTCAAAAACCCTGTCTTAAAACCACTAGTGCCCCGAACCCCAGTATAAATTTCTGAGAAGGCATGAACAAGTTACTGTACCTCGAACACTCCATTCCTGCACATTTGCAATTTTGTGGTTGGGCCTCACCATCCCACCCAGGCACGCTCTGGGTGGGATGGTGAGGAGCAGACCGGGTGAGGAGAAGAGCTTACTTTAAAGTCTGACAACCCCACACCGAGGTTAGGTTCGGATATTTAGGTTCTACGGTCCAAGGGGGGTGGCCCCAAACCTCCGCCTGTCTGGATGCAGCAGTCTCCAGTTTGGCCTTGTAGGGTTATACAGGGTTTAGAACTTCAGGTTTGTAGTTTGTGGAGCGGAACCCTAAACCCTAAACCCTAAGCCCCAAAGCCTAAACCCTAAAACCCGGAGGAACCTAAGGACCTCGAGCAGAAGCTTCCTCGTGCCTAAACCCTAAGCCCTCAACCCACAACCTAGTTCAATGGGGGCCCCAAGGTCTCTAAACCCGAACCCCAGGACACTGAAGCCTGGTACACTGGTGTAGGTTTTAGGGTTTAGGGTTTAGGGTCTTCTTTTTTGGGGGGGGAGAATCCGAAAGCCCTGGCAACCCTTCGAACCCTCGACCCTCTAAGCCGCGCCTTTAGCAGGATCTCTGCATGTCCAGGGCTCGTCCCATACTGAGGGCTGAAGCATAACACCTATGACAAGGAAGGACGGGAGTCGCAGGATCCCGAGGGGGTTTAGGGTTTAGGGTTTAGGGTTTAGGGTTTAGGGTTTAGGGTTTAGGGTTTAGGGTTTAGGGTTTAGGGTTTAGGGGTCGGGATAATTACTACTAGTATTCCCTTAGGGCCAATCGATAATGATACGATGATAACCCCCAAATCCCTTTTTCTAATTATTCAGGCCCCTATAGTAGGTGTTTAGGGCTTGTGGGACGGGACTTAGGGTTTACGGTTTAGGGTTGTAGTGGCGGTGCTTAAGGGGGGATTGGAGCATGAAAGGGCCAAAGAAAACGCACCAATAGACCCGACAATCCCTCCTTTGCGGCCCCTTTTTGCTTTGCTTTGTTTGTCCTTTTTGGTGTGAAGGGGTTTATAAGAGACCCTTAACCCTAAAAAACGGAAAAATAAGGGTCTGTTCTGGGTCCTAGTTGCTGTGGTGGCCCCAGCTGGGGATCCTCCAGGGCACGTTTGCAGCACTCTCATGGAAAGGGGTGCCCCAAACCTGCACATGTCTTGTTGTTTTTTCCACAGTAGCGCTGTAGATGGAGCCTCCGGACAGGCTTTATGAAATCAAGCCGACATGGATGGTGCTTGATGACACAAACAAACATACAAACAGCACCCATTCTGGACTTGAGGTACTCCCCAAAAACCCGACCTTTACAGGGCTTTGGGTGCATAACTCTCCCCCAAAAAAAGTTGTGAACCATGCATGGCACCTGTGGGCTGCATTGAGCACCCTGAACCCTCGATCCCAGGTTGTCGCTCGCAGAGCTTTTAGGGTTTAGGGTTTAGGGTTTAGGGTTTAAGGTTTAGGGTTTAGGGTTTAGGGTTTAGGCATACTCATCCTCACATCGGCACCCCACGTCCATGCGTATGCTAAAGAAAGGGTGCCTTTGGTCGGGTTTTAAGCTTCACCCATGGGCTTTGTAAGGCAACCGGAACACCCCCCCTTCCCAAGAAACGGGAGTGAGTAAGGGCCAACATGAATAGTAGCGGCAGCTGCAGAAACCCCCCGTAGGCACCGTACAAGCCTTGGCGCATGTCCAACACCGACCTCCCCGCTACCCCTAAACCGTAAACCCTAAACCCTTAACCCTAAACCCTGTGCGAAGACACTTCAGGGTGCCCTTGGCTAACTCCGTGGAGGGCGGGGGGGGGGGCGGGCGTCTGTCTGAGAAACCGATGAAGGTACCTGTAACTGCAAACACATTGTCGCCAAAAGACGGGGCAGCCAATGTTGGTGGCGACATCCGGGTCGCAGCAGAGCTGCAGAAGAGTCCTGTCATGGAAAAAAGGCGTCACTTAGAAGGTCCATGCCCAAACTAAACCCTAAACTCCAAGATCTCTCTCGGGCATTGACATGTGCACATTAAAACACAAGCGATTTCATCCTCGCCATGAAACTCACTCAAAGCAGCATTGAGGCACAAGAACATGGTGCACGGCGGGGACGAAATGGTCAACTTCGGGCTAGCTTTCAGCGCGAAATGCTCTGTCGGACGCCTTAAGCACACCCCAGCCATTGTGCACGATGTCACATGCATGTCCAGGACTCATGTGCCCCAGGTACATGACGGCAGCCTCTGCCGCAACGTGTGGTTGTGAGAACAGCCCACTCACCAACTGTCCCTAAGGGTCTGCAGTTTAAACCCTAAACCCTAAACCCCTAAACCCCTTAAACCCCTAGACCCCTAGACCCCTAGACCCCTAAACCCCTAAACCCTAAAACCCTGAAACCCTAAACCCAAACCCCAACCATAAACGAGCACCCCGCCCTACTACATCTCAAAGCCTGCGCTATACAGCCACCCCCCCCCCCCCCCAGATCTTCCCAATTTAGGGGTTTGGGGTGCAGGGTTTAGGGTTTAAGGTTCATGGACTTGAAGGTTTGAGTTTAAAGGTGCAGGGGTTTTAGGGTTTAGGGTTTAGGGGTTGATATCAAACCCAGCCCCAAAATCCCTAAAGCGCCCGACCCCCACCGGAAAAAAACAAATTAGAACAAAAACCTCCAAGTCTCAACGCGCCCTGCAGCCCTTATTCCCCCCAACGCCACCCGGTACGCCGTGCGGTTTAGGGTTTGTAGGGCTTAGCGTTGAGGGCCTTAGGGTTTCAGGACGTCCCCTGATCCAAAAAGTCCTGGTCGCCAAAGGGTTCTCGCTGATCGATGCCACGTGGAGGGGACGACCACCAAAGTGATTCTGCAAGCCGAGGTCGGATGGGCCTGGTGTACTTGGAGGGTTTAGGGTTTAGGGTTTAGGGTTTCGGGTTTAGGGTTAGGGTTTAGGGTTTAGGGTTTAGGGTTTAGGGTTTAGGGTTTAAGGTTTAGGGTTTAGGGTTTAGGATTTAGGGCTTAGGGCTTAGGGCTTAGGGCTTAGGGCTTAGGGCTTAGGGCTTAGGGTTTAGGGTTTAGGGTTTAGGGTTTAGGGTTTAGGGTTTAGGGTGTACTTGGAGGTTCAGGGTACTCATGACCCAATTAGCAGTGTGGTTATAACCCACTTATAAGCCCCTTAAGTACCCTAATAGGGTCATGATTGGGTGATAAGTACAGTTAGAATAGGGGATCCAAAGCATGGGCCCTTAATTTGGGTCCCTTGCTATATAACCCTTATATACACTATATACAGTAAGGGCCCATACTTCAGATCCCTGTAAACAAGGCCAACCTTAGATGGTGGTGTAGGATTTATAGGCTTTAGGGTCTAGGGATCTTTCTGAAGGTCGGGAGGGTATAAAGGGTTAAGGGGGCATGCCCCTACTCGGGCTTGTACGTGTTTCTCTGAGCACTCACGTGGTTCAGAAATGCTGGCCGTGCTTTCAATGCGGACCGAGATCGTGCCACAAAGCTAGACAGAGGCCAGGATTCACGATCCTTTAAATTAAGCATACCCCCAAAGGGTCCATGTACCCATATAGTATAAACTTGGGCTTGAAACGCGTTCCCACAAAGTAGCTTTAGGCGCCAAGCATACACTGGGTACATGGACCCTTAGGGATCTCTGTGCGGAGGGAAGGTCGTAGCTGGCGCAGGCCGCAACAGTCGTGCGAGATTTGGTGCTCAACTTGTTTGACCACTGCGCAGCCCGAGATACAGGGTTTAGGGTTTAGAGTTTAGGGTCTAGGATAATAAGTATAGATCGATTTTGCAACGTGGGCGCTCAGGCGTTGCACGACTAGAGTAGCTCTCCAAACCCCAAACCGGTACCGAAATTTTGGGAACCTCCCAGAAAAGTCTGGGAAGCACTCTCAATCAGCATGTTCGGCCAGGCATAGTCTGCAATCGCACTTGCTGGAGTAGATCTCAACGGACGACCTCTATCATGATGGGCTACTATACCCTATCAGATTCCTTCAAGAGGCCCTGCTTATGAGACCTCATAGCCGCGTCAAGACAGCTGAGCATAAGAGCCCCGGCGCCAGGATTCGAGCTGCGCGCGTTCATGGAGATAAAGTGACTGCCGCACTCCGCACAGGAGCGTGATCTTCGTCGGAAGGACTCCAGCTGCTGGCATCTGCGGATATTTGCCTGCACATCTGCTGCTCTGCAGCGCAGGCGCTTATGTCGTCACCGAAGCTGATGTCGTCTGGACACCTGATGCCCTCTGCCCCTCTCCCTTCTCGCACGCGCTGATGCCGGCACTGAAGCTGATCTCATTTGGCAAGACTCTGGCCATGGGCATCTGCGAAAGCAGATGGAGGGCCATTTGCCACTTTCCACCTTTTTCACAGGCGCTGATGCTTGCATTGAAGCTGATCACGTCCGGCACAGCTTTTGCTTCCGGCATCTGCACCAGCAAATACAGGGCCATCTGCCACTTCCCACATTTCTCACAGGCGCTAATGCCTGCATTGAAGCTGATCACGTCTGGCACAAAGCTTGCTCTCGGCATGAGCGAAAGCAAGTGCAGAGCTATCTGCCACTCGCCACCTTTCTCAAAGGCACTAATGCCAGTATTGAAGCTGATCTCGTCTGGCGCTTGTCTGGCCGTGGGCATCTGCACAAGCAAACTCAGGGCCATCTGCCATTCGCCACCTTTCTCACAAGCGCTGATGCCGGCATTGAAGCTGATCACGTTCGGCACCACCTCGGCCACAGGCATCAGGGAAAGCAATTGCAGGGCCATCTGCCACTTGCCAAGCTTCTCACAAGCACTGATGCCTGCATTGAAGCTGATCACATCCGGCACAACTCTTGCTGCCGGCATCTGCGTCAACAAAAACAAGGCCATCTGCCACTTACCACGTTTCTCACAGGCGCTGATGCATGCATTGAAGCTGATCACTTCTGTCACAACTCTTGCTCTCGGCATGAGCCAAAGCAAATGCAAGGCCATCTGCCACTCGCCACCCTTCTCACAGGCGCTGATGCCGGCACTGAAGCTGAACACATTTGGTGCCACTTTGGTCATGAACATCTGCAAGAGCAAACTCAGGGCCGTCTGCCATTCGGCACATTTCTCACAAGCACTGATGCCGGAACTGAAGCTAATCACGTCCGGCACAGCTTTTGCTTCCGGCATCTGCGACATCAATTGCAGGGCCATCTGCCACTTGCCACATTTCTCGCATGCGCCAATACCTGCATTGAAGCTAATCACGTCCGGCACAACTCTTGCTCTCGGCATCTGCAAAAGCAACTGCAGGGCCATCTGCCACTCGCCACCTTTCTCACAGGCGGTAATGGCAGCACTGAAGCTGATCTGGTTTGGTGATACTTTGACCACTGGCATCTGCGAAAGCAAAGTCAGGGCCATCTGCCACTCACCACTTCTCCCACAGGCGCTGATGCCGGCACTGAAGCTGATGTGGTCCGGGAGCACTCTGGCCATGCGCATTTGCGACAGCAGATGCAAGGCCATCTGCCACTCACCAGCTTTCTCACAGGCGCTGACGCCTGCGTTGAAGCTTATCACTTCTGCCACAACTCTTGCTCTCGGCATTTGCGAAAGCAAATGGAGGGCCATCTGCCACTCTCCACCTTTTTCACAGGCGCTGATGCCTGCACTGAAGCTGATCACGTCTGGCACAACTCTTGCTCTCGGCATCTGCGAAAGCAATTGCAGGGCCATCTGCCACTCGCCACCTTTCTTACAGGCGCTGATGCCTGCATTGAAGCTGACCACGTCCGGCACAACTCTTGCCCTCCGCATCTGCGAAAGCAATTGCAGGGCCATCTGCCACTCGCCACCTTTCTTACAGGCACTGATGCCAGCACTGAAGCTGATCTCGTTTGGCACCACCCCGACCACGGGCATCTGCGAAAGCAAATTCAGAGCCGTCCGACACTCACCAGCTCTCCCACAGGCGCTGATGCTGGCACTGAAACTGATCACGTCTGGCATCGCTCGGACGAGGGGCATCTGCAAAAGCAGATTCAGGGCCGCTTGCCACTCACCACCTTTCCCACAGGCGCTGATGCCGGAATTGAAGCTGCGAACGCTTGGACAGACTTGCAGTGATATCCTGGGTGTTGCTTTAAAGCCCTTTGAAAGCTATTTATGAAGAGGTTCCCTTAAAAAGGGAAAGAAGGGAAATCTGTACAAAAATATCCCCAAGCCATACCCAGTATCATGTGAGAGAGGAGCTGGAGGACTTGCGGCCACCGGGAGTCCTTTTGACATGCCGCGATGGCAGAGTTGAAGCTGGGAGCATCGGGCAAGAGCTCGGCGACCAGGATCCCTGTAAGAACTTGGAGAGCAACCTGCCACTGCCTTGCCCGGCTCGCCACAAAAGCGGTGCGGAGCGCGTTGTGATCCCCTTCTGTTCGCAACATGTCCTGGAGCAGATGGACTGCAAAACGCCAGTCTTGCTTCCGACAAGCTGCTCCAGTCGATCTTGAAGGTGCCGCGCAACTCTTCCCGGCAAACTTGAACTCGTCGCGCAACCTGGTTCGGCTTTGCAGCTGGTGGCCCCATTGCTGGACTGATGTGGAGTGAGGAATCTCAGCAGAAGCTCTGGTGGCAGTGGCCGCCTTAGAGCCCAGATGGCCCTTGCAACCCTAAATCCTCAGCCAGTGTGTGACCCTAAACCTTAAACCCTAAACCCCAAACCCTAAGGCGCAGAACCCGGCACCCTACTCGCACAGCGACTGAGGAGGCTCTACTAGGTAGTTGGAAAACGGAAAGCCCTAGCCAGAGCACTCAGAACGCCAACGCGGTGGTCAAATTCTCATTAAGTATCGTCACGATTTGGTGTTTTGTCTTTTTGTTGGGGGTTCCCTCTAGAAACCCTCAAGCTATGTGACCCCCAAACCCTAACCTTTCATTGGCCTTAAACTCTGAACCCTAAACCCTAAACCCTAAGCCTAAGGCCCTTAAAGGCATGAAGCCCTAAAGCCCTAGAGCCCTAAGTCCTGAGCCCTTAGTTTACCTCAACCCAAAGTTTTACAGGAACCTAACTGCTCAAAGTGGTGAAGAGCAGCCAGCACAGGTCCTAGTGTACCCTCTCCCTACACCAGGACACTCCCCCAACCCTAAACCCTAAATCCTAAACCCTCAACCCCAAAACCCTAAACCCCTACTAACCCCTCCCCTCCCCCCACCCCTCCCCCACCCCGCTGCCTGAGACCAGTAAGGGGATCGCCTCGTTGTTTCCAAATCGCGCCGCAGTCATCAAAGCGTTGCCTGCTATGTGGGCTCAGGCGTTAGCCCCGCAACCATATTTTAATAATAAGGGTAATATAGGGCCTTAAGAATCAGAACAGAGTTTTGGAGGTTACTATAATAAAGTTATGAAGGGACCATAAGGGAATACGATTAGTAACTGTTCCGACCCCCCCGCCCCACCCCTAAACCCTAAACCCTAAACCCTAAACCCTAAACCCTAAACCCTAAACCCTAAACCCTAAACCCTAAACCCTAAACCCTAATCCCTAAATTGGGTTGGTTGCTTCAGGGAGCCTTGAACCAACAAAATAGGAGAAGGGTACCACCGGGCTACCAAGACTTGGGTTTAGGGTTTAGGGTTTAGGTTGAGTAGTTTTAGGGTTTAGGGTTTAGGGTTTACGGTTTAGGGTATAGGGTTTAGGGTGCAAGGTCGAGTAGCTTTAGGGTTGTTTTAGAGCTTTAGGCTTTGGGTTTTGGGTTTTAGGGTTTTAGGGTTTAGGGTTTTAGGGTTTTAGGGTTTTAGGGTTTTAGGGTTTTAAGGGTTTTAGGGTTTTAGGGTTTTAGGTTTTTAGGGTTTTAGGGTTTTAGGGTTTTAGGGTTTTAGGGTTTTAGGGTTTTAGGGTTTTAGGGTTTTAGGGTTTTAGGGTTTTTGGGTTTTTGGGTTCTAGGGTTGAAGGGTTTAAGGGTTAAGGGTTTAAGGGTTTAAGGGTTTTAGGGTTTTAGGGTTTTAGGGTTTAGGGTTTAGGGTTTAGGGTTTAGGGTTTAGGGTTTAGGGTTTAGGGTCTAGGGTCTAGGGTCTAGGGTCTAGGGTTTAGGGTTTTAAGGGCAATTTTAGGATTCGGGATGTGGGGTCTTGGGGTCAAGGGGTTCAAGCATTCAAGGCGTCATGGCAAGCCGGGTCTTGAGGATTGCAGGGCTTGGGGCGGTAAACTGCTAAGCCCATTCCGGTTTCAGTACCCCATTACAAGATTTAAACCAGAAGGCCTAAACCCTAAACTCTGAACCCCAAACCCAAACCCTAGCATGCTGGCGCCCCCTCGCCCCCTCCCCCTAGGATCTTGAGGCGTCACAGGTTTAGGGTTTAGGGTTTAAATTTAGGGTTGAGGACTGTCTGCACCCAATTGCGCCTTAACCCCAACTTGCCACAACCCGAAGGTATGGGCCGCGCACTTTCACTCACTTGGCCCAGTGCGCCTTCCTAAACGCAATGCCCTGAATCCTACACGTGATGGACCCTAAACTAAACCCTAAACCCTAAACCCTAAGCCCTAAGCCCTAAGCCCTAAACCCTAAACCCTAAACCCTAAACCCTAAACCCTAAACCCTAAACCCTAAACCCTAAACCCTAAACCCTAAACCCTAAACCCTAAACCCCAATCCCAGCTGAGGCCAAGAACTGCCGAGCCGATCTTTGGGCACGTGGAGGTCGGCTTTCAGGTTCAGGAGGGTCAAGACGGTAGACCTGGCTGTAGGGTTTAGGGTTTTTGGGGTTCAGGGTTCAGGGCTTAGTCGGGTTTAGTTGGGTTTAGTTGGGTTTAGTTGGGTTTAGTTGGGTTTAGTAGGGTTTAGGGTTTAGGGTTTAGGGTTTAGGGTTTAGGGTTCAGGGTTTAGGGTTCAGGGCTTAGTCGGGATTAGTCGGGATTAGTTGGGTTTAGTTGGGTTTAGTTGGGTTTAGTAGGGTTTAGGGTTTAGGGTTTAGGGTTTAGGGTTCAGGGTTCAGGGCTTAGTAGGGTTTCGTTGGGTTTAGTTGGGTTTAGTAGGGTTTAGGGTTTAGGGTTTAGGGTTTAGGGTTTAGGGTTTAGGGTTTAGGGTTTAGGGTTTAGGGTTTAGGGTTTGTGGTTCAAAGTTTAGGGCTTGGGGTTTGGGGTTTGGTGTGAGGGTTTGTGTTTAAAGCGGTTTGGGGGGTTCAAGGGGATTCGGGTTAGGACTCTTCCGGCTTTGAGCGTTTCTGCAGCTTTTGCTGAAATCGCCGTTCTGCAAACATGCTGTTTCCAGCTCCCTCAAAAAACCCTAAATCCTGCACCATGAAGGCCCGTCCCAGGGAAACTAGCCTTGAACCCTAAACCTTGGCTTCCACCATAGACGGGGTCCCAGAGCCACGCAGGACCAGTAAGATGGTACACCTTCGTGTTCAAAGGAGTTTATGTAACCAGGCAACCTAACCCGTCAAGGGTTTAGGGTTTAGGGTTCAGGGTTCAGGGTTTAGGGTTCAGGGTTCAGGGTTCAGGGTTTAGGGTTTAGGGTTTAGGGTTTAGGGTTTAGGGTTTAGGGTTTAGGGTTTAGGGTTTAGGGTTTAGGGTTTAGGGTTTAGGGTTTAGGGTTTAGGGTTTAGGGTTTAGGGTTTAGGGTTTAGGGTTTAGGGTTTAGGGTTTAGGGTTTAGGGTTTAGGGTTTAGGTCGACCCAGTGACCTCGTGGAGAGGGCCGCAGCCAAGGACAGTGCCGTGTGGTTGCCCTCGAGCTGGGCGTCCTGTGCCGCAAGGTTCTGTGAATGTCGAGGGGTGGAGTTAGGGAACTAAGGGCCTGGGGTTTAGGGTTTAGGGTTTAGGGTTCAGGGTTTAGGGTTTAGGGTTTAGGGAAGAGAATGAAGGAGACGGGGCGACTAGGGGTGTGGGTTTACGGTTCGAGGGGGCTCTGGTTGAGAAGTACAAGCTTCATCGTGGGGTGTAGGGAATGGGGGGGGGGGGGACCTACAGTAGCAGAGCTATGGGTGTAGGGGTTCGGTGATGCTTTTTCTCCCCCCCCTTATCTGAGAATGCTGTAACAAGAATACTCCAAAGACTCCACGGCGTCCACTGGCTAAGCTCGTTGCCTCACATATCCAACTCTCTACCTCTCTCTCTCTCTCTTCCTTTCTCTGTCTGCTATTTCTTTGATTGTTTCTGTCTGCCGTTCTTTCTATCTTTCTTTCTGGGGCCTCTCTTTCTCTCACTCTCTCTCGCTCAGTCTCTCTCTCTCTCTCGCACACTCTCTCTCTCTCTCTCGCTCTCTCACTCTCTCTTTCTCTCTTACTTACTTTTTTGTTCTTCGGCTTATTGCTTAGTCTTGTATTTCTGTCTCTCTCTCTCTCTCTCTCTCTCTCTCTTTCATTCTCATCATAGTGCACACAGTCCTTGATGTCCGGTTTCGGGTTTAGATTGTCGGGATTGAAGCCGCCCAAAATTCCCCGTCCTTGATGTCCCAGGTCATGAGTTCGTTGGGGTCCGCCTGGCCAGCGAGAAGAGATGCAAATGTATAGGGCTTGCGGATGATTCCACGAGTGAGATCGAAACTCAAAGCTGAGGGTTTCTAGGATTCAGGGTCTTCGGGCGCGTTCAGAGTTCAGGGTTTGGGGTTCTCGCCCTAAACCCTAAACCCTAAACCCTAAACCCTACACCCTAAACCGGGGTTTGCGCGCAGTCAGGGTCTTGGGGTTCACAGGGGTGTTCACAGAGGCGCTTCGTCGATGTTCGCCCTCCCTTATGTTTGTTTTTTTTGGCCCCCGAAGGCGGGCTGCCTTTTCAGGTCGCTCTTCTTGCCCTCCTCTCTTGGTTGGCTACACCCTAAACCCTAAACCCTAAACCCTAAACCCTAAGCCCTAAACCCTAAACCCTCAATGACGCCCCCCAGTCTGTGGCTGTGTCTACTTGAAGCCGAAGATCAGTGCCCCGGTGTCGCGGGGTTTCCCAAGAGTAGGGTTTAGGGTTTTGGGTTTTGGGTTTAGGGCTTCGGTTCTAGGGATTTTAGGGTCTGGGGTACCTAGTTGGAAGGTGCAGCATTTCGGGGGCGTGGGGGGGCGGGGATAGGGGCATGTAGCATCTTGTCCCAATTCCTGGCCAGCCTGCATGTCTAATGTCAAGACCCTAATATAGCCTACAAATCCTAGATACCCTATATACCCGAAGATGCCCTAATATACCCTACATACCCTTTAACCTGTTTAAAGTCTAAGCCCAGGCCCCAACTGGAGCAGCAATAGGTCGTTGCGTATGTGGCGGCCCTCTGACGTCGGAGGCCGCGTGCTACGATTCAACCCTAAACCCTAAACCCTAAACCCTAAACCCTAAACCCTAAACCCTAAACCCTAAAACCCTAAACCCTAAACCCTAAACCCATCCCCTCCTTCACAGCCTCACCAGAACCCTCAACCCTAAACCCTGAACCCACCCTGAACCCCCAGGGTGCGCATTCTTGTCTAGGGTTTAGGGCTTAGGGTTTAGGGTTTAAGGCTTAAGGTTCACACCGGCTGGTCTCATAGCCTTCCCCTCCACGAGAATCTTGATGATGGGGATGTTTCCCTCAATGCCTGGTCTTCTGGGTTTGGGCTTTAAGGGTTTTGGCCTTGGGGTTTAGGGTTTATTGGGTTGAAGAGGCTTTCTCTGGCTAGTAGGATTCGTTTGGGGGGGGGGGGGGGGGGGGGGGTGTAGTAAGGTCTTGTTGGGGCTTACGGGGATTTATGGATTTAACAGAACTTAGGATACCTGGCGTCTGAAACGGAAGCTTGGGAAAGTTTTGTTAAGCCCCAAACCCTAAACCCTAAACCTACACCCTAAACCCTAAACCCTGGGGCTTGTTAGGTCTTGTAGGGTTCCAGGGTCCAGGGGAGCCGTCGGTAGACATCCTGACCCCCCGCACACAAAACAAGGCCTCGGATAGGGTGCATCCAGGGTATATTAGGGCATATTAGGGCTTTCTAGGGTAGATGCGGGTACATGACTAAGGGTATATTCGGGAAAACTAGGGTACATTGGGGTACATAGGGTATGTAGGGTATATAGGGAAAGGGCCGTGGAGTTGAGCCAGCTGGCCGCCCTTTACTTGTTCAACTTTGCAAAAGTCCAGACGGCCTAAACCCTCAAACCCTCAAACCCTAAGCCCTAAACCCCAAACTCCACACATACTACTCTCAGGGTTTGCAAGCACGGGTCCTGAATTTGGGTCCCTGTTAGATCACCCTTATATACACTGTACATAAGACGGGCCCATACGGGAAGGGACCATGCGAAGGGCGCATGATTCCAACCTTAAATATACTCGGCACTCCGTGGAACATAGCTGATCGTACTTCGTTTTTATATGGGGGGGGGGGGGGGGTGGTTCAGCTCGATCGGCTCTAGGGAAACCTACTGCCCCATGTGGACACACTAGGCTCCCCGACTAGCCAGCATCAGTGGACTTAGTCCACCCTGCTCCTGGGCTGCAGGGCTGCAGAAGGCTTTAGGGCAGTTTAGGGTTTGGGCTTCAGGGTGTAGGGCTTCGGGTTAGGGTTTTGGGCTTGGTGTAGGGCTCAGCGGTCTTGGACAATCCAGGCCCAAACCCAAAATCACGGAGGAGGGTTCCGGGTGTGTGGCTTGAGGGGTTGAAGACTGGGGTGTGGGTCCGGTTCGGCTATCAGCATCGAAAGAACCATCGAAAATCCGGGCGTTTGGTAGGGTTTTGGGTGTCTCTAAACCCTAAACCCTAAACCGAAAACTGGGTGCTGATCCCCACAAGGTGCCCTTTCAACAGGGTCCGCAAACCCATGAGTTTCTTAGTAGCCAAGAAACCATACTATGAAGGCCAGGGCTACGGCGAGCTACAGGGCTCGGGCTTCATGACTTGGGAGCGTTTGGAGGGTTTCGGGTTGGTTTAGGGTTTGGGGTTCAGGGTTTGGGGTTTGGGGCTTCGCTACACATTTCAGATGGCCCTTGCCGCGCTGCACTGCACAGCACGGCACCACCGCAGGCCCACCAAAAACAAAGAAAAAGAGGCTGGCTTGTAGAGTCAAGACGGCTCCGAAACTCAGGTACCAGGGAAACGGGTAGAATTCTCCACCCTCGGCCACGACGAAGACGATCTCGCGCCAGGGTTCCATCCTCGGATCCCTGGCCTCAGGATGGTCAAAAAGCCCGCGAAGTATCGATCTCGGTTTGGTCCGTACCATAGGACCGGACCCGCCTTGGCGCGTCTCATCTTCCTGCACGCTGGTGCCCCCCACCCCGCCCCCACCGTGGTGCTGAACTTCTGACTAGTGTTGGGGCTTTGGGGCTTTGGCAAGAGCGCAGGTAAGCCTGGATGAAGGGCAACCCCAAACCCTAAACACTAAACCCTAAACCCTCAACCCTCAACCCTAAACCCTAAACCCTCACAGAGTTCGTTCTGCCCAGAAGCCAAATGTTGCAACTCCGAAGTGAAGTTGTACCGCTGCAGGAAGGTCTGGATCGTGTCCTTCAGATCTGGGGACTGCTGATGACTTCGATGGCTGGGAACACCAGGGCTTCGGGCCATTTTAAGTCACCCCATTAAGACCTTCTCAAGGCTTCCAAGTGCCTCTTTTAGGGTTTAGGTTTTAGGATCTAGGGTTTAGGGTTTGCTTATTGGGTTTAAGGTTGTGGATCTTGGCGGGACAGCTAATTTCTCGCACAACGTCTGCCGTGTGCAACCACCTGGTGCTGCGAGAGCCGCTCGCTTGTGCCAGGCACTCCGATACTTTACCAGGGTTTGGGGTTTAGGGTTCAGGGTTTGGGCCTCTGCTTTTGTGGCTGCTTTGCTGTGGTACCGGACTTTCAGATTTCATTCGAGTAACCGTATATTTAGGTCTCCAAATGAAGAAAGATAGGCGATATTCCTCAATCATAGGTATAGGGTATTGGGCTCCTGGTTTCTCAGCAACAAAAGACAAGTAAACCCCAACACCCCAAAACCTTAACAACCTATTCCCCCTAAATCCTAAACCCTAAACCCTGAACCCTAACCCTAAATCCTAAACCCTAAACCCTAAACCCTAAACCCTAAACCCTAGGAAGAAGCGAGCGTGGGCCTCCTCCAACTTGGGAGGATGGCCTTGGCCCCGGGGAAACAGCGACCTGGAAGAGGTTCGGAAGTGGGTTTAGGATTAGATAGATTTTTGTTTTACGTTGAATATTATTGATATATATATATAGATATATATATATATATATATATATTTTTTTTTTTTTTTTTGGGGGGGGGGGGGGTTAGGGTTTGGGGTTTTAGGGTTGTCGTAGGCTTTAGGGTTTTACGAGGCTCCACGCCTCGGGGCTCACTCTTGCTTCGCTGCCAAGGTTTGGGGTTTTCTTGAAGGTTCATGGGCACTTATTGGGATGCTCCCCCTTACCCCAGCTTCAGCGGGACCGCCCCCCCCCCCCCCCCCCCCCCCCCCCGCGCCCCCCCCCCGTACCAGTAAAAATCAGAAGAATAAGAAACCCAACAAAAATCACACGAAGAACAGAACAAAGATAAGAAGATTGTCATAGCAAGAACAACAATACCCGAAGCTCAACGTAATCCGAAGCCCTAAGCCCCCTAAACACTAAACCTTGCAAGCGTTCTCAAGTCCACAGAACAGACGGGCCGCTGGTAAAAGCGCCACTTCAGCATATCACCTCAAGCTTCACGGTCTTCGGGTTTTAAGGGTTTAGGCTTTATAGGGTTTCAAATTTGAGGGTGTCCTTCTTTCGGGTTTCGGGTGCTGGGGTTACAGGTCTTCGGATTTAGAATCATTGCGTAGGGTTTAGGGCTCAGTGTCTCGGACGTACGGCTACGTGATCACAAGCCCAAGCCCGACAAGGCTCCCAACCCGAAGCTCTAAACCATAAGCCCTCAGCCCTAAGCCCTACACCCTAAACAAACCCACTGGTAGTTAAGGGCCTTGGTGTCATGAAGGGCTGACGAGAATGTTCAGACTTGTCAGATGAATCCGACATAGGGGTACCAAAAAACACGATATGCCTTACTATAGGACACCCGGCCCCCCCTTCCCCCCCACCACAAAAAGGGCACCCCTCCATTCGGAATCCCCCGTATGATCCTACCCGGTTTCTGGGTTCGGCAGTAACTTACGGTTTAGGGCTTTATGGGCCCTAACCCTAAACCCTAACCCTGAACCCTAAACCCTAACCCCTGAACCCTAAACCCTAACCCCTAAACCCTGAACCCTAAACCCCAAACCTAAAAATAGGGCTGAGGGTTTCGGGCTTGAGGTTTAGGGTGTAGCTCCCGTGTCCTAGCACTCTACATCGCTGTAGGTTCAACAACAAAAGCGAAACGATACAGGACCGTAACATATATATAATATTTATTCATTTTTTGTTTATGTATATATATATGTATGTATTTTCGTGTGTATATATATATATATTATTCTTGTTCTTACAAGACAACTGTGCAACGAGGCCCTAGACCCTAAACCCTAAAAACCCTAAACCGCTTCTTATTTCGGCCTTGAGGTTTGGTCTCAGAGAGGCTCACCTGCTCACGGATCCACCGTCAGCGCAGCTGCCAAGGAACCAGAGACCACTATTTGCTTAAGAACCCCCTCCCGGGTTTAGGGTTTAGGGTTTGGGGTTTCGGGTTTAGGCTTTAGAGAATTAGCTACTAGTTTGCTTCAGAACCCCCCCCCCCCCCAACAAAAAAATCAAATATATTCTTCCTTAGAAGGGTAATATAGGCGTAATTGGGATAATGGTCTTGCATTATTTTCCGGGGGGGGGGGGGGGGGGGTTCTTAAACAAATGGTACGAGAAGTCTGCCTCCGAGCACCTGATGAGTGGCCTTGTCCGTTGTCGGTAAGGTCAGTCCAAAAGACGCTGCATTTGGCCATTTCTCTACATTAGGGTCCCTTCTGTGGTTACTATCATTGCTATCATAAGGCGGCCCCGTGTTTTTAGGGTAATTCAGAAGGGACACTAACTTTGAGAACTGACCACATGTCCTTGCCATCGGCTGCAGAATATGCAAGCATGCCGGGCCAACAGCCAGCGGAGTGGTATAGGGTTTGGGGTTTAGGGTTTAAGGTTTAGGGTTTAGGGTTTAGGGTTTAGGGTTTAGGGTTTAGGGTTTAGGGTTTAGGGTTTAGGTATCTCACGCAACGCCCAATACTTGGGGACCCAAAGAACCCTAAAATTGGGGTCATATACCCTGACTACTATAGTGGTACACGACAGCTGGGTTTAGGGTTCCAGGCAATTGCCCCTACTATTTCCAGCTCGCCGGGTACCATGGGGTCTGTACCCCTCAACCCTCAACCCTACACCTTAAACCCTAAACCCTAAGCTGTGCAACTCTAAACCCTAAACCCTAAACCCTGGGGACCCTAGAACCTTAAACACAGGCTGTGGAGGGCTAAACCGCGCCGAGCGGGGGTTGAGGGCTTAGGGTTGATGATGTCATGTTTAGGCTTCCCAGGGCTTCTACATGCAAAAAGAGAGAGGGAGCGAGAGAGAGAGAGAGAGAGAGAGATATATATATATATATACTATATGTATACAGATTGCAGATCTTGCATGGTTCATAAGGCCGAGAAGGCTGAAAGGCTAATGGGGTTTGGGTATACGGCTGTGGTTTACAGGGCTTAGAGATTGTTGCGGCCTAGGGCTGTGGACTTGAGATTTGAGGGGTTTGAGCTTTAGGGGATAAAGTTTCAATGTTGATTCCAGTGCCAAGGGACGACGAAGCCAGAGAGCATGGCATTTGAGCTTCCTTGGCGGCGATACATACATACTTGCATGAATCTTGATATATGTCTATACATGTCTACTTGTTCGTTGAAGTAGGCATGTACGGCTCTGCTTCTTGTAATTAGTCCTGTACTTGTACTTGTGCTTGCGGCTTTTTCGTGCAGGTTTTCAACCTTGTCATTGTGTTTCTGTTCATATTTGAAATGTCTTTGTATCTATAAGCCGCGCTGCCGAAACTGGCTTGTGATCGGCCTTCCCCAAATGTGCACGTTCACCCTGTATGTGGCCAAGAAGTCCTGAGGTTATTACGGCCCCTGAGAACCCAAGACTTAAGTCACCTCACTTGGTAGCCCAGTAGCCATATTAAGGTACCACTGGGCTTCCAAGCTCAGGTGGAGGGTTATCAGCCGCTGAAGTCTTGCTACTAGACGTAAGGTTTAGGGTTTTAGGGTTCTACGGTTCAGTGGCCATTAATAATTTGGGAGGGTCCTCCCCCCCCCCCCCCGGTTTGCACCGGGACGTCTTGGGCTTCAGGGGAGTTGGGGGCCTGTTGATCTGGAGGCGGCCTGCATAGGTGCCTTCCGCAATCTAGAGACAAGGTTGCCCCAAAGGCTTTAGGGGTCAGCGTCTCGGGTTCAAAATCAAAAAGGAACCCCCGAACCTAAAAAAGGAGGAAACGTGTGGTACTACTGGGGCATGCTGGTGCACCAGCTCTTTTGGAGACTTAGGGCCAC